CCAGCCCCTCATATGCTGACGCCTGGGTGTCAATCTAAACTAATCTAATCTTATTTGTCAGTCTCGTCATTTATGCCCAAATACTTTGTTAATGTATTTTCTTATAAAAAAAATTATGGTCCTTTAAAGAATAGAAATTAATACAAATACATTTTGAAGAAGACTGTCTTACATGATGCACTATGTAGGGTAATCCCGGAAGATGACGACAGTAAGATCCTATTCAAACGTCACTCGTTTCCTCTTAGACTATGGTACTACATCCTAGGACATAGGCTCGTGGAAACCTCAAATCCCACAAAAATATTATTTCAGACATCATAATGTGAGGTCCTAAGCCCCAGTTTATTTAGCTCGAACGTGAATACAGCAATGTTTATATGAGCGCACACACGTGCCATCTCAACTATTGAAAGGAAAAGGTTAAGAACAATGGCGTACGTGACGTACTCTCCCTGTGAATCACAACTGGAAGTTGTTCGCTGTGAACCTCGCCTCTGACAGTGGTCGAGGAAAAGTGCCTTCAGGGATTCTGAACCGTGTCGTCTCGTAGGACTTTGCCTACGTTTCAGAGGTGATTACTGCCTCAATGTCGAGTCCATCATCGCCCTGATGATGGAGGCAGCAGGGACCTCCGAAACGTCGGTAAACTTCTACCAAGCTACACGGTGTTACAAACCAAACATGAAATTTTCTATAAAATCTCGCGCCACATCAGCGTGTAAAACCTGTCCCAGTGCCACTGTCCATCACAAACCCCCGGCTACCATGGCAGCGATCTCTGGTCTCCGTGGTGAGACACCAGCGACACAACCGTGAATAAAAACAAACTTTAATATTACGTGTCGTCTCTGACATTTCAGGTGGGTAGCGGATTGAATCCATAATTCCCCTCCAAATTCTGTCCCGCATTAAAAATTCAACGTCTTTTGAAGTCCTCTGATTTTTTTATGGAGCCTCATACGCTGTTAGACAAATGTGGTTTTGGACAACCTTATGACCCTTTCAATAACCTCCACTTTGTTGATAATAAAGATGACATCAGGCGTCCAAACAAGGACTACCATCTTGCAGGTAAGCAAATATATGCGCTTACAGTGGCCTTGCTCATTGTCCCTAAACAAGGAAAATCGAATGCAACGCCTTTCAAAGTTTCCACCATTTTCAGTGTCTACATCCTACGCAGAAACGCAAAAGATTTTGCTCGGATGCTCGAAATGAGTCCAGGAACGAAACAGAAGAGATCGCTAAGAAACGTGGAAGTACAGGGTTCGAATCTCCGCCTGGAAACCTATTATCCTGGCTGAAGTCTTATTGGCTTTCCTCGGTCCCTCCAGGCAACCACTTCCTTGCAATTCATCTAAAATCCATCAACTGTCTACCAACTTAAACAGTTGAAGAGCGTTCGTACGTAACCGAAAAATCAAATATCAATGCAGGCAGTGTTTGGCATAAGTGACACTACGTTACTATAAAATAACTCCAAACTCCGTGATACAAGTTTTGACTTCAAAGTTGATTGCTGCCACTTTCATTAGCATCTTCACAAAGGCCCGTCGTTGAGTCATTAACGTCCAAGGTCCTTTATGACATTTCGAGATACACTGGTTTTAACAGCATTGTAGTGTTTTAGAGGGAGGGTGGAGGGGTAAATGCAAGAAACATGGAACACACAGTGTTGCCAAACGTGCCATTGTGGAACGTTGGTTTCCATTGAACGCGATTTCTTAACAATACGCAAGGAACAGACATGACTTCGCAACAACGCATTTCGTCTGCTGATGCTGTTTCTAAACACTCTAAGCTCCTACAGCTTATCAGCAGAATACGGACACGCTAATTGTTCAGTCACACATCAGAAGTCGACTCTGCCTCCAGCTCTGTTGACAGACGCTAATCCAACAGTCAACATTGGGTTGGTGGGTTATTCTTTGTAGGCCGTCCGAGATTGTTTATTCAGCATGAAGACGTGTCAGGTACAGAGGTGACTAAGACTCGATGACCGTTTTTATTGAAAGTGTTACCTAAAACAAAATTTCGTTTCACATCTATTTCTACCAACATTATTCTTCTACAATATAACAGGCCTGACTCTTCTAAAACTACAGTTGTACTCCCCCTCCCCCCACCCCCACGACTTGTAGTTATTTATTATTAATTTAATTTTCCCATTATTATCTAATTTTGTTGAGATATTTGCTTATTTTAATTGGAAATATTAGTAAAATTTATCATTCTCTAACAAGCTAAATATTTTGCCACACGGTTCTAACCTCAATGTCTTCACTTCTCCACATTTTACTATAAAATGTTATTAAACCCGGGAACAGTTTCACAACCATGAGCATTACGCATTGAAACCACGTAATATCAGAGAATTCATTTCTAAACAAAACATTTGAATGTGAGATTCGAGGTTTTCACAGCAGTAAGTATTTAGATTTCTGTCTTCTGGGTTGTTGCGCGGTGTAGTACGGCAGATGTTTACCAACGTTGGTAAACATCTGACATACTATACGGCGCAACAACCCAGAAGACACATATCTTCAAAACATTTGAAGTGAACTAGGATTGAAGTTTTGGGGTTCCATAAAAAAAACACATTTCTAGATCAGTTTCTAAATAACCGGGTACGAAAGCAGCAAGCGGTGGATATATAGATCCTCTTTCATAAGTGCGTCCACCAAGCGGCCTCGTTCGGAACTAGGTACGTACTTTTTTACCTGTGCCAACAGAATTTAATTCTCATAACCTCAGTACAGTCACAAACTTTTGAGCAGACTGTATAGGCAGTGAAGAGGCAAGTGTTATATTCAGTAATTCCTTTTAATTTCTGTTTAAAATAAGGGACTTGTTTAAATCGGCGAGGAGCTTTAAGCGAAGAAACTGCTTATAAACTTCTTAACCGACTGACCTATTTTCACCCTGTAAACTTTAATTAGGCCTACAAAGTACATCTGGGTTATAATTTACATTATCTAAATAAGACATTAACAACGTAAGATTTGTACGACTGGAAGTCCGAGGAATATAAAAGTAGGCTTTATGATTTCGACCTGGTAAATCCTTGTTTACAGAAGTTAAAACGTTCTATTTTAGCTTCAAAACAGGGCAGCCTACCGGTTAACTGGACCCAATACGGACAGAAGTGGAATCGCCCGAGATCAATAGCACATTTCAATTAAATCCGTCGAACTGTTTCGGACATAAAATATGCGGATGGACAGACACGACTTTCAAATTATGCATCATTACAAGCACGCGTCACGACGTACGCCTTAAACGTGGCCAAATACTTTTTCAAAGGATCACAGGTACTTCAATTCGGTTCTGAAATATTCCGTACATTTGATAGGAGATACGGACGGACAGACATGTTCTTATGATAAAAAATATCTGGCCCATTAAAAAAAAGGCATTCTTGGTACTGCATTTACGTAATTTCATCTGACTTTTATCCAATCGCAGAACACAACACAAAAAAACCTGGCTACTTACAAAAGCTGTCTCATTCTTCTGGACTTCTTAATCTATATGGGGGCCTTGCTGATCAGGGCGTACGCTCCGGGCCTGCACGTTACATGGGTCTAGGAAAAACCTCCACTGTTGCTTACCCAACGTGACCTACAGCGGAAAGAGCATTTTTAAATTAAGTTTAACGTATTTGTAGCGCACGTCGCACAGGACTGAAAGACATAATATAAAATCAAGTCCTTTGTTTACTTCACAATTTACGTCAATTTACAGATCCTGTTTACCCATTCCTCCCGCTGTAACATTATTTACAGATGACCTTGAAGTTTTGCCAGACTGCGCTTAAAGCTCGTTAACCGTGTATTTATCTTAACTTTTGATTTAGAAAATTATGCTTGATTTTACGTACAGCGGCAGTGATAATTGGAGAGCTTAAAAATTTATTTAGAGAACTAAGTTCTTGGGCAGCCAAACAATTGGAGTCTTAATGAAATAAAGACAGACCGCTCCACAAAGAATTTAACGCGAACGTGCTAACGGTGGCTTTTTTAACTTTGCTATTGAACATAACTCCGAAATCAAAACTGCTAAAATTCCTAACTTCATTTTTATGGTTTCTCCACGCGTTTTATATATATATATATATAAATTAATTTACAAGTATTCCCTTCATTTAGTAGGCTTAAAAATACTGTAACATTGCTGAATACACGAAGGTACTAAGCTATCTGTACAGAAGTGGGGAATATGTTCGATATTTATGATGAGAGTGCGTACATAACGCATTATTCCTCTAATATCTTGCAACCATAACATTTTTAAAGTACATATAGTACGGTTCTGTGGCTCATCGTATCCTACTCAAAATTTCAACAAAATATGACAGACGATTCACGAGTTTAAAAGTGCAATTTTCCTTATCTGAAACTTCTACCACACTTTGTAGGATTTGAGGTTTTCACGGAAGAGTCCGGAGATGGCCGTCTTCTGGGTTGTTGCGCCGTGTAATCCGGTAATTTACCGTTTCAGAGGTCCTTACTCAACGCCCTGATGATGGTGGCAGCAAGGACCTCTGAAACATAGGTAAACTTCTACCAGACTACACTGTGCTACAGCCCAATACAAAATCATATATTTTTTTAAATTCATTTGGCTCCCACTGCAGTTCAGGCCCCAAGTTATAATGTAAGTGATGTTTGTTAGTCACCATCTTCATTTACAAAATCATCGTATCGTAATGAACAGAAGTGAAATCTCATTAATATGTGCATACCTACTGTGATTCGTGATGGACAGGTAGAGCCCACGGTGATAAATGCTATTGCCGTACACTGCCAGAGCAGACGACACAAACTATGCTGAAACAATCGAGATATTTCACACCTGGGAAGACAGGAACATTTTGGGTATCACTGCAGGTCAGAGATCGGAGAATCAGTGACAATGCTACACGTATGCAGATGAATGTGCTATGAGTGTAACTTGGATGTCAGGTCCAAGCTGCCTTAAGCTGATGACAGCAAGGCTGAAATGAATATAAATGCAAATAAGATTGAATTGTTGGGACGCCACGGAGAAACCGGGGAAGCCGCCGGAGGAAAACTCCGTGTTGCCTAGACCACGGCCTTGCCCAACACAAGTTAAAAATTCGGGCACCGCCGGGAATCGAACCCGAGACCCCAGGATTACAAGGCCAGCGTTCTAACCGCTAGACCACCGTGGCAGTTGTTAATGCCTCTGAATTTACTTTACAAGATTAACGTCTCAGACTGCTGCACCTTTTCTAGCTTGGGACTTCATGAAGTGTACAGACCAACATGTTGGATAAACATTTTGTGGTTTTGTTACGGACTGTACACATAATAACGGAATTTTGACTGCAGCGTAACATCACATGACACTCCAGTATGGTTATGACGACGACATTTAGCATTGAACATCGTTGGTTACTTAAGATTGAAAACAAATAAATAAATAAAGTGCTGTCTGGTGGCACATGTTCAAAATACTGTATCTGTAACTCAGCTCTCAAATCACGTCAAATATGTTAACTTTACAAAACAATTCAAAAAAAATTCTCAAGTGTCTCATGCTAATTAACCCCTTAACCATGCATAAAAAAATACAAAGTCCTTGTTTGAGATGGTTTTTCCCATTGCAAGAATAATTTTCACCACTTCACCAGGAAAAATACCTGGAATGGAACTATGCAACCTAAAACCAAAATCTGTATTCAATACAGACATATTTTGGTCTTTAAACATTCAAATAAAGGGAATACTATACACAGGTGGTCTAGCGGTCAGAACGCTGGCCTTGTAATCCTGGGGTATCGGGTTCGATTTCCGACGGTGCCCGAATTTATAACTTGTGTTGGGCAAGGCCGTGGTCTAGGCAACACGGAGTTTTCCTCCAGGGGCTTCCCCGGTTTCTCCGTGGCATCCCAACAATTGTTAAATGTAGCGGTCCAGGTCGAACCCATTTACTGATGGGTCGTGAATCCCGCTAACCACCAATGCACACCATGCTGAATGCTGTGTACTGGACATGGAAAAAACCCACAGCTATTGCTCTCAGTTACATATCTGCTTCATATGTTAATATTCTTATCTGTAAGCAGTTAGCTGATAACGCAGCTGAATTCTCCAGATAGCATTGTCACTGATCACAAATCATAAACAAAATTATTCTCTATGATTTTTTCTGTAAATGGACGCTCCTTTACTTACAACAAAGATTGGAAACCAAGATTTGGCTACTATACAAGACATTATCAACCTATTTCTAGATAATGAAGTCACATTAGAAATATACTAATGTAACGTCAGCTGTTTTTTAACATCCAGGCATTTTCAATGCTGTTTACGGAACACTTAGTACACATGAGGAGATGCCAGGAAGGGAGACTTTCTACAGAAAGAAAGAAATAATGGCTATGTTTCTAAAAGGAAGGTTAGGGATAAAAATTTTAAAAATATGTTGGTTCCTTGATTAGCTTTATCTTTCGCTCAGCTGCATTCTCACGAGGCTGGATAGTTCTCTTTTCCATATCTCTGTAATTATATATATATGTATATATAATAGTATCTACTTATACAGTATTTGACATTTTCTTAAAAAAACAAAAACAAATTTTTCCTTATATAAAACAACACTATACATTACATACACCTTATAAAAATGGTGTTTAGCACCCAGCTGAGGACCTTCCACACACAATGAAATACAATGCAATAATCAACAACAGTCTTGTTCTAATGTTTACAAAAGATAAAAGAGTCCGTAAGAATGAACATTCAATCAAAAACTTCAATCTGTTCGGAATACCGAGGATGAACTTGTACGAATGTTGGTAGAACTAGAAACAACAGCAATACAAATTAAGAACCTGCGTACTTAATAAAATTCTTTAATTAACTTTAAATTTTTCTTACTTTATTCAGCAGAATTGGTCAAAATCTTGAAAAGACCATAGATATAACAATGTTACTTTAATTGTTGTCTTCAGAGTTACAGAACTGTGCCACTGTTGATGAAATTTCTTTCAAAAGAATTTACTGCCATAAAGGTAGAGAAAAAATTTTAAGGAATAACTAACACCATAAGACGGTAAATTATTCGAAAGTAATACAATGTTTCAGCGAAGTTTAGTTCAGTTGATTTATAACTCAAAAGAAATTTTAAAGATCACATTGAAGTATTTCGTTTGGAAAGCTACAAGAATTTGTTTGTACTGCACGAGATCATACGATTTAAAATGCCAAAGCCGGCTGTTTTGAAATTAACTACGCTTTCCGGTAACGAAATGAAAAGACATTCAGTTCTGTGATGTGGTCGCAAGCAACTTTTTCTTCTACAACACTTATTAAAATTTAACAAGGTTATGCTCTTGAAGAGCAAGCAACTTTTTCTTCTATAACACTTCTTAAAAATTTAACAAGGTTATGCTCTTGAAGCAAGTGTTTTTTTCCGAAATTACGCATAATCTGTCACCACTCACCAATGACACTTTTATATTCTTTATCTTTAAGCCTGCTTAAATTGACCTACTTCTTCAAAACCAACACTGCATTGAGAAATGTAAGAGATAAGGCAATGAATAAAACAAATAAAAGGACACCTAACCTCAAAATTTTAATTAGGTTGCTCAAAATGTCATAATCAATAAATCACACATCATTAAAATAACAGACCTTTTCCCCCCAAAATTTCTGCATCGGAAATCTAGGTGTGTCACGATCAAGGTTACAACAGTAACCCAAATCAATATACTGGTACCCGACATTTTACTTTGCAGCACGTAAACCAAGAAAGACAGTATCAGCCATTGTGACAGTTTCTGCAACATAACCACAGCCACAGAGGAAAACATCTACATTCTTATCCCTGCATTCCTTAAATATAAATGTTTGCAGAATTTGATATTCCTCGTAGTCAATATGTTCATATTCTATTTTATGAAGTTTTAACCTCACTTAATGGTACCTGCGCCTTGTCGTGGTGGTGGGGCTTGAGTACCTCAGTGACCCTAAGAGCTATGCTGGAGGTAGCATAGCTACTGGTAGGGCCTCCGTAGCCAGATTGGTCGAGGGGGAGAGGTCAGACTAAGACAGGTACTCTGGTCCTCCAGGTTGGGGGTTGGTCACAAGGCTAACAACCTTGCACCGTAAAAAGGAAGATGTTTCGAAACCTCGATCAAAGCCTCGTACAGACGTACCTAACAGAGGACCGAATTGAAGAGGAGAATTGAGGAGGCCGTGGACCGAATACGGACCGGAGAGCCATAGAAGAAGAACAACAACAACATAGAAAGGCAAGAAATGTCATTTGTGTGTACATATGACATAAGTACCTACAAATAATAATTATTCCACAAAATAGAAATCATAATTTTAGAAAATAAAATGGCCTATAAGAAAATGATTCGTGGTGGAAGCCTGTAAATTTATTTTAGCATTAATACAGCAAGAGTTTATTTAATAACCGCAACAAGTAATGCACAGAAAGGCAGAAATTTTTGGGTTTTTTAAATCAGGGGAGTGTAAAATTAAAATATATGTGTGCGCGCGCACAGGAGGTCCTCATTATCCATGGTTAACAGAGACTGGAAAAACACCATTTAAAGTGGATCCCCTTTGAGCTAGGAATTTTAAACCACAAATATCATGTAAATAAGGGTTAATAAGGACTGGAAAAATCCAGGGGTACTGCAAATGGGTCTGTCACTGGAAAAGGTAGCATGCTGTCCACATGCTTAACAAGGAATCATTTCCCAACAACCCATAATATGACTCGTACGCCCATTTTAAACTAATGATGACGTTAACATACACAGTCCACAGTTGTAATCCTTGAAGCGTGGGAAATTTTCATGTATAGTTCTTCAATAATTTGGACTTTATGTGTGGGAAAAGACAAAGAAGACTTGGATAACGATGACCACCTGCATATAATATGAAGCCATCAATATATAAATGTCTTTTTTTTGAAATTTGAATTTACTGTAGTTACGCAAGTTTACCTGCTACGATGTCAAAAAATATTACTGCAATATCTAAATACCTTGAATTAGTGACCTTCAATGATGGAAACGGGTGTCTAAAAATATAATTTCAACTTCAACCCCCTGCAAATACCATTACACGCTCACGAGACTCCGGGTTTTGTCGTTTAAGAAATGGTTACTCTCTCCTGACCAATATCTTTATATTAATCTGTCGGTGATTTTTGCAGTGTTTAATACGTAAAAATGTGCAGTACAAGTGATAATACGTATCAAATATCTTTTACAACTACACTGATTTAGTTCAAGTGGGACAATACAATGTCCATTCCAAGCCGAGCACAACTCTACGAAACTTAACAACTTTCAATTCATTTCTGAAACTGATACTGGCAGAATATGACAGACAAAAATGTGCCCAGCTTCTGTCATAGATGGAAAGATCCTGGGTTGGGTTTCAAATCAAAAAGTAAATGTTTATCACAAGTCCAGACCACTGTGTTTTATTCCAACGTAATACTTACACGACCAGACGTGCCTGGTATGTTAAAATACTTCTGAGTGACCGATAGGTTGTGTGGCTCAACAAAATATTCATCTGTCCTTTTGGAGGTCTCATAGATAGAAGATGGTGAATGCCCGGAGCTTGCCATTCATATTAAAATTTAATTTAAACCTTTGTAGGGGCTGTATGTACCTCTCTAAAAACCAAACCAAAATCTCTTTCTGACAAACAAAAAAGCTTTGATGATAAAGGTAGCATAGTTCTTAAATCTAATTATAAATATGTAATTGGGTCACAAGAATAATTATAACCAACTAGATGGCTTACCGAATCCGAAGGTTCATCACCGAATTAACCAAAGCCCTCCACCAGACCAACAAAATCCAGTCTCCTTCAACTCCTATCTCCCATAGATCCTGCCTGACATTATCCTCCCATCTACGTCTAGGTCTCCCCAGAGGTATCTTCTCCTCAGGCTTCCCAACCAATACCCGGTGCACACTCTTGTCCCATCCATGCGCGCTACATGCCCAGCCCATCTCATTCTTCTTGACTTAATCACCCTGACAATACTGGGGGAGGAGTACAGATTTTTAAGTTCATCATTATGCAGTTTTCTCCAGGCCTCATCATCTTCTCTCGTAGGCCCAAATATCCCCCTCAACACCCTATTCTCAAACACCTGCAATCTATGTTCCTCCCTCTGAGTGAGAGACCATGTTTCACACCCATACAAAACAACAGGCAAAATTATTGTTTTGTATACTTTAATTCTCAGGTTCTTAGTAATCAGATGGAAAGACAAAATATTTTGAACTGAGAAGTAGCAAGCAACAAGAATAATTATGTAAGATTTGAGGTTTTCACAGCAGTGAGTATGAAGATTTCTGTCTTCTGGGTTGTTGCGTTGTGTAGTCTGGTCGAAGTTAACCAACGTTACAGAGGTCATACTGCCTCCATCATCATGGCGATGAATCTAACATCTACCAGACTACACAGCGCAACAACCCAGAAGACAGAAATCTTCAAGAATAATTATATTCACTATAAGTGATTCAAACTCAAATCCTGGAATAGGCAATTGCAGGTTTATGAATACCGGCCGGAAACCAAGAATGGTTTACAGCGAGTTTCATACTTCTTATTGTGCTTTAGGAATTCAACTAACTTGAAGATGGGTTGTCTTTTGAGTTGTAGGGCTTTGTAGTCTGGTAGTAGTTTACCAACATTTCAGAGGTTCCTGCAGCCTCCATCATCAGGGCAATAAGTCCTGATGATGGAGGTAGAAAAGACCTCTGAATTATAGGTAAACTTCTACCAGGCTGCATGGCACTAAAACCCGGAAGACAACCATCTTTAGAATAAAGGCGTGAAAACCTCAAATCGTACTCGACTATCTTGGGTCTAAATATTCAACATGACTCTAAAAAGATCAAAAATCATTTTAGTCCCCGAGATATGTAAATCAACACGCGTCAAAGGTACAGAATACTATGCTACTCGGGCCTTCCATGACCATGCCCCAATTAACCTTGCAAAGCTCTTCTGTTCCTCAGTGTATGTAATAACCTGAACAGAATGAATCAAAACAGAGTTTCAGCTTCTGGTTTAAAAAAAGAGTACCATTTAACATTTCACTTGACTTGGGTATTTCATTATTTGACTATAGAATGTTATTTATTTCATCGCTGATCTCCAGACTTACGAGATAAAACAGAATTTAATTGAAGGCAAGCGAGCTTCTATAAATATTATGACATTTACTCGAGATTAATAATATTATCACTGTGATATATAATAAATGTAGTAAATACAGGGAAGCAAATGTCAATGTCACAGATATTATTATTAGCAAGGAAAGTAAAAAAAATTTGTGCTACTAAAACATGAACTGATTTTTATATTAAAAAATATTATTATACAGTACAATAACGAATAACTAAGAATACCTGAACGGCAAGTTTAATATCATTAAGACAAGAAAATATTAATAATTCAGAATCAGATACATTCTTTATTCCTTCTGAAATTTTCAATGGCTTGAGTTAATGCTTTACCGACTATTATCATCACATAACTGCAACAAGTACCGATTAAATGCAAATCCAAACAATAATTTATAGCGAAGATGTCCGCCGTATTTAAGCTGCTTCTTTGACTGTATTTCAAAATATAGACAATTTTCCCCCCGAAAGACAAATTTTATTTATTGGTCAGCCAAGTTATTTGGAAGCTGTCACCTCCCAAAAAAATAAGGACCTCAGTTTTTTTGTTTATTAACCTCAGTTTGTTACTGTTACAACATAAAAAGATTCATATAGAAAAGGAAGAAAATTTTACTCGTAGGAATAAAATATTCCGAGATTTAGCAAACACTTGAAAATTTTGTTTTTTGCATGGTCTACGTTTCATTACGTATTAAAACTAGTTTCGGGCAGTTTCGCATTCGGAGACGCAAATAATCACAACTTATATATAAATTTGTATACACTTATTCTGTTTCAGAGAAACTGGATTTGATTTTAACCAATTCAGACTTAATTAATAATGAGTGGTGACAAAAGAAGATAACGCGATTAATTTCAAAAATACTTCCAGTAATAATTGTAGTTTTTGCCGCTTCAGTACAAACAATCCTTTACTGATATATCAACAGGTTAAACAGGGTCTACGTACGTTCTTTAGGCACGGACATATTCAATAAATATTGCACTTCAGAGAACATAAATGTCTGAACATGAGACGAAATCAAGACTGGCCACAAATATATTTTAAAAATAACATTCTTCCATGGTAAATGACTGAATTCTTAACGACGAGCTTCACAACATGTAGGTCACCCAGATTTGCCTAAAAATATGTCTAAAAAGATGTTATATTTATTTCAAAAGTAAGATATTCATGTTCTGTCAACATTACAACATTTTCCGCAGCAAGGTTACCATTTACGATACAACTCTGCGCAAAAAGCTAGTTGCGTCTATAATAAAATCAGCCTTATAATAAGAATATACACACATATATATATACCGATACACACGTCGCTAATTTCCGTCGTATAACAAGGAGTGCACTGACAATAATCATAAAAGAATATTCAATATAAAGGTTTACTGTCCGTTTTAAAAATTTACTAAAAGTCGAAGCTTAATTAATAAATACTAAATTGAACAACAACAAATCAGACCTGGATAAGAGCAAATACCAGAACTATTCGCTTTGTTATCGACGTACGTAACGTGGACTGCGTGACTTGGGATATAGCGAATGGCCGGTTTTTGCTCTGAAATTCTTTTCGTATGTCCGTTCCGAACAGAAAAGAAACTATTTCTCTTCTTCAGTTTGCCTAGATACCCAAACATATAAATCACGACCGCATATCGAAACCTTATTTCTGTAAATATGATAATACAGTAAACGTTACTGTGTGTATCAATTACTTCTTTATTTTCTTCAGAATATATTTATAAAAGAATAACATTCATAAAACTCAAAATGGTAACCTTGCTGCGTATTTTTTGCGCAGGTTTTTGTTCTCATGAAAACAAAGTACTGAAACTAAGAATAGAAACAAAAATTGCACAAAGGTGGTGGTGCCTGTCTGACAACGGCTTCCACCAGCTCAAGATTATCACATTTATACAGCTCCATTGGTCGGACATGCACACAGAAATTGACAAAATCCAAAAAGGAAACAGTACCACTTTTCTTCCTGTTATTCTGCCTAATATTTTGTTTAAATTGGTTATACAGTACTGGGTTTGTGAAGAATGCATTATTTGAGAACAGGCAGCGGCACGTTTAACACATTTCGTTACAATAATCTTGTTTTATCGAAGCTGCAAATACTCAATCAGAACCTTCGTTAATAATCTCTAATAGTTTAAACTTCAGACGTTGCCACAATTCATTATTCGCTGGGCCTTTGCTGAACTAAAGTTACTTCTGACCAAAGACATAATCTTAAATAGCTTCTATTATGTACGTAGGATATGTGAAAACGTGAAAAATATATATTAGTAAAAAATGGTACATAGCAGACATTTGTACAGGGCTAGTCTAAATGATGTTCCCGATTTGAAACACGTTACTCACGTTTAATGAAATTCAGATGCACAAAATTGATACCGATGGAAAGAGAAACTCTCCAAGTTTATGTTGGTACACTTCGCGGCCGTGTAGTAACACTGTTCGCCGCCAGGGGCGATATGAGAGAAAATGGCTGCCCTCGAAGACAGGAGAGCCTTTCGCGTCCTTGATTTTCACGTTCACCGGACCTGACGCCGTGATTTTTTTCTGTGGGGGTTCGTCAAAGATAGAGTCTTTGTGCCACCCTTACAACAGACCTTGCTTGATCTGCGAGCGTGTATCACAGCAGCCATTGCAGCAATCGATCATGATATGCTGCAACGTGTCAGGGACGAACTCGACTGCAGGCTGGATGTGTGCCGAGTTACCAAGGGGGCTCACATTGAACACCTGTGATGTACTGAAACAAAACTGGAGAGTTTCTCTTTCCATCGGTATCAATTTTGTGCATCTGAATTTCATTAAACGTGAGTAACGTGTTTCAAATCGGGAACATCATTTAGACTAGCCCTGTATTGTGGTAGGAAATACGAATTTGCAAACTGGATAATTTTAATGACGTTAACTGATATTTTTAGATGACATTATATTCTGTTACGATACACAGCAGATACTCTCACAGCAATAATTAGAGAGCCTGGCACAGTAGAACAGCGTACATCCACAATCTCTGTTCTCAAAATCTGATTCTTCACACGATCTGCAAAAATTAGGACTAATAAGAATATGTGGCAAGACTTTGCCTTACTCATCTCTCTCATGTGGCCATCATCTGACCTCAAAACACCGTTCCGTTCATATACATACTGTACAAAATTCATATATCAATATTCCTTCTCAACTTCATACGTAAATTTTAAAAATTCAACAGAAAACTATACATTTACATCACGTAGGGACAAGAAATGAAATAGTGACAACAATGACAAAATATTACGAGCTTTGGTTGGTAAAACTTTCATGGGACTGCTGAATTTTCTAAAATATGTTCTGTTTAAATGTGATGTCAGCCACTGAGATTCCGGAGTGTCAAGACCCAAGTTGTAAGCACTACAAAACAGTTGACGCTAGACCCACAAGAGAGATTAAAACATGTAATCACTCATTAAAACAAATCAAGAAACATAGCACATAATTGGCAGCATAACATAGACTTGTAAAAATTAAACAACATATGTACGAACAAAAGAAATAACGTTTCTGGCACAAAGGAACATTATTTTGCTTTTCTTTCTTTGAAAAAATAAAAAAAGAATTGTGACACGTATTTGGGCAAAACAAAAAACCACACATACGTATGAAAAAAAGTTTGCAAAAAATGCACTTTCTTTAATTTGTTACACGTCATGTTAGTATTTGACACTTCATCCTGAGTATTTCTTCTTTCTTGTGGTCTTGATTGTCTTAAAAGCCATCACCACATGCAATCACTTCCTATCTACGCACGTTAGAAGTCAGATGCTTGCAAGGAACGTGCCGTGTCCCAGGACACGGCTTCTGCTGGCGGCGGTGATGTGGCATTTGGCCGCTTGGCTAGATGCTACGTGACACTTATCACGGCTCGAGCCGAATTTGAAGACGCGTCCTTGCCACTGCCACCTGTCTCTGTCTTAATGCACTGTCCCGTTAACTGGTTCACACTCAGGGGATTGTTTATATCATGTGGGTTGGTGCCCACAGGGTTGCGATGCAAAGGTGGGCCGGTAGGTGGAGGATGGTGTGGAGGATGATGGTGGTGCACAGAAGGTAATCCTCCTCCACCGCCACTTGCGTTCGAGGAAGCCGAGGGGGGTTGATGCGGAGGCAAGATGCCTCCACCTAGTCCATTCATCGGGGTCTTGCACTCGAATGCCGACGCATCATGTGGCGTCAGCGGACTCTGCAAGCTCATGCACGGACTTGCCAGACTCACCGACGGACTGGCCAGACTCGTGCTTGGGCTCGGTAGTATCATAGAGGGGCTGGTGAGGCTGGACAGTCCGCTCAGTCCACCAGGACTTGATAAAGAGTGGTTGATACTCTCCCGGTCATCTTCAGGAGGAGTGTTTGCATCACCCACGCTGCCACAGCTCCCCAGGTTGTCCTCCGACTGGTTCCCATCCATACTCTCATTCGACTCCATGTACCGTATGCATTTTTTCTTGCGCCTGTACAGTAATCAACTGTATAATTATGTAAATCAAACTAATAAAGTTACATTCAAGTAAAATTCCACTCTGAAATTATAGAGCTCTATTTGATAACTTTAATTACTTATGAGCCACAAAACTCCCTGTCTTATTTTCTGCAAAATATAATTAAAACAAAATACAACCTTTAATTTCTGTGCTATAGAAGGGGAGAATTATGCTGGATAATAAAAATTCACGTTAAGAAAAGGAATTCAGTATACATGAGCTAAACTGAGATCATATGGCAGGAATATATGGGAAAAGTACGTAATTGCTTTTGATATAAATGTGGGTCCACCAGGTTTAATTTTCTTATATTTCAGCCTGATCAGAAGAAAAGGCCCTTTTTTCCACAAAATTAAGCAAATAAATGGATAAATGATGTGCCACATGGAAATACTTGGTCAGATTAGCCAAAGAAAAAAAAATAATGGAAAGAGCACTTGCCACAAACAAAAGCACAGTGAACTCTCCAGTGCCGTTAGCTACCTTCAATGTAAAGATCCGTACTCCGTTCTCAGTTACCTGGTTTGTTTTCTTGCACAGATTACATAGAATAGCAAACGCTAACAACAAAAACAAAAGAAAGAAGCTTACTTTTACTCCCTTCTGCATACTCTTAATTAATATTCACAGAGACATCAGATTGGGGAGGAAGCAATGATCTCACTCCAGAAGACATTACATATGTTATATACGTAGGGCAGTCAAAAAGTTCCTGGAATTGTGGTATAGCACTGTAATGGTAGGACATATGGCAACGCTTACCTAATCACATTCAAAGTAGGACCCTTGCGCACATACACTCACTTGCTCCATCCATCCTGCCATTGTTGGAAGCACCGGCGGAAGGTTTCGTTTGGAATCTTCTGGAGTTCGGCCGTCGCATTCGACACATCGCTGGTTGTGCAGCAATTCCTTGCCGAAAAAAGCATTCCCGTCATCACCCAACCACCACACTCTCCGGATCTCGCTCCGAGTGACTTCTGGCTGTTCCTTACTCTGAAAATGGGCCTCAAGGGGACGCGTTTCGCAACCATGGAGGACATCAAATCGAATGTGACGGCCAAACTCCGGAAGATTCCAAACGAAGCCTTCCGCCGGCGCTTCCAACAATGGCAGGATTGATGGAGCAAGTTTGTGTGTGTGCAAGGGTCCTACTTTGAAGGTGATTAGGTAAGCGTTGCCATATGTCCTACCATTACAGTGCTATACCACAATTCCGGGAACTTTTTGACTGCCCCTCGTACATATTTTCATGCAGACCTTTCTTGAAACAGCACAAGCTAACAATGGGAATTTTTTTTTGAACAAACTATATACCAAATACTGAAACAAAATATAGGAAAACGATATTTGAAGTGTGGCAATTTATATGGGAAAATCTCCTACTTCCATATGCCATCACAACACCTCATTGTTACTACTGTTAACAATAAAGACATTCAATTTTCATGAACATACTAGAGTGGCATATTTAAGCCTTTATAACACATTGTGCCTACACTTTTGCGGCATACTTGGGTTTTGGGTCAATCCATTTATTTGTCAGAGATTCTAAGATACAGCCTGAAAAAAAGTTTTAATTAACTCTGCACCAGAAAAGAAAACAATGATACAAATCCATGCACTCAAATCTTAGTAGAAACAACCAAAGCTGATGTTGCACTATTACCGCAATAGTGCAGGTTATCCACAGTGAATATATAATGAAAAAAGTTTGTTACTTTTCTCGCAATCACCATGTATCAGACTTGTTAAATTTTTAGTACTTTTCTATTGCTATCTGTATTCAATAATCATCTGCACCATACTTCTGAAAATACACAGCAGAAATAAAAATAAATTATTTATTCAGTGAAGTGACCGGCTATGGACTGTACGACTGGGGTTCAAACCCCGACAGGGACAGAGGAATATTTCCTCTAGACTCTGCGTCCAGACCAGCTCTGGGGCCCACCCAGCCTCCTGTTCAAACCCCGACAGGGGCAGAGGATTTTTCCTCTAGACTCTGCGTCCAGACCAGCTCTGGGGCCCACCCAGCCTCCTGTTCAAACCCCGACAGGGGCAGAGGATTTTTCCTCTAGACTCTGCGTCCAGACCAGCTCTGGGGCTCACCCAGCCTCCTATCCAATAGGTACGAAGATCCTTTCCTGGGGGTAAAGTGCGGCTGGGGCGTGACGTTGACCACTCACCCGCCACCCCCAAGCATGGCATATAGTGAATGGGACGGGGGGGATCCCAAAATCTTTTCACATACATAGGATTAATATTTGGTTTTATCTTCATTGTCAGGATAAAATAAAATAGTGAATCTAATGGGGATTTTCTATTTTAAACAGAACATCTAACCTGTCTAGGAAGACATTATGTTTGAAATACTTGAATATTTTTTAATTTTGTTACAGTGCTCCACTGAAGCTGTACAAACAAACTCTCTCTTTCAGGTGAGAACTAGCAGTAATCAATCGGGAGAGCTTGCCAAGACAAAACTGGTCACCACCTTAATATATAGTGTGTTACAAATTAACTAATTAAAACCAAAAGCTGAAATCTTTGTATTTTTAACCATTCAAAATGATGCCAAGTAATTTACGGAATTATTTTTTAAATGTCACTCAAATGAAGTAGCAGAAATGCCAATCTTTATTTGAATTTATAATATGCTGTATTTATTAAATTTGATAATCAGTTTCTCCACGTAAGTTACATCCCTCCATACAGAGCACATAAATGGTGGAATGCGGTGTCTTATTTTCTGCACCAAGTCACATCTGAAAGGTTTTAATTTACTTCTTTATAGATAATAATAAATTATGAAGAAGTAAGGAATCAGACATTTAAGGGTGGAAAAAATGTGCACGTGACTTCTGCCCCCGACAGCCTTCTCCGCACATTCGGGAGTGTTTCATAAGGTA